AGAGAAACCGTCATAAGTACATCTTTTTCATACAACTCTTTTGATAAATAAGATGAGATCATTTGTATAAATATTCTAAATTTAACTTAAAACGTCTGAACATCAGTGTTAATTCTGTTGTTGCGAAGTGAATTTTTTATTTCGTCTTTTATAGTTTTAAACATCACGTCCGAGTAACAAGCTACATTTTTTTTTATTTCACCTACTTAATATTTATGCTTCAATTTTTGCGCGTTATATTTGATTTTAAAAATATCCAACTTTATAAAAGTGACATTAGTACATTATATTTTGCACCTAAGAAAGACAGGAATTTTCAATGAAAATGTGAAAGGAAGTTTTAGGAATCACTTTTTTCTGCTAATTTTTTGGATTATTTATCTAAAATTTCTTATTACATATCAATCTTGCTATTATTTTAGACATTTTATTTATTCAAATTGTTTCCTCTAGGTTTTAAGGAGATATTTTGACCGCGTTGAGAAATTTAAAAAAATTAGAAAAAATATATATACATAATTAAATACGTTATAAAATCTACTATTGATAAATAAATAAATTCTAAATTTATAAAAAACAGAAGTTGATAGAAATTAAATAGAAATTAATAGATTGATTGAAAATTAGAAAATGTAAGCTTTTCTTTTTGCGGCTGATCCAACTGGATTTCTCTTCATTATCTCTCTTGCTTTCATCTCGGAATTGTCTTTGTCAATTCGATTGAAAAATTAAGATGAGTTCAACTGTGAAGCCGCCGCGATTGGTCGGTTTAACCAATGAAGTAACTTCTGCTTAACGCGTAACTACTGGTAAACAGGATCGGTCCATGTAACGTGGTTACTTGATCTAGGATCTTGTTTGCGCAACTGCGCAAGCTCAAGCGTAACAAACGAAGTGTCAGAATCAGGTTTCGGTTAACGTTAAACGCGAGGTGTAAAGCCGCTTGAATCTTGGCGTGATTACAATTTGGCATGTCATTTGCACACAGAGTTGCTATGGCGGTCTGAAACGGCGTTGCGCTTGAACATATAAAAAACAGCCACGCTCGAGTATCCTTCGGGGAGTTCTTATGCAGCATTAAAATAAAAAAGAGAGAGAGAGAGAGAGAGAGAGAGAGAGAGAGAGAGAGAGAGAGAGAAGAAGAAGAAGAAGGAGA